GAAAATATTATTTTATTTATAATTTAGCTGTCCTTAAGGTCGATATTTATAGTCGATATTTTTCACTCCGTTCAACAGTTGTCAAAACGTGAATTTTCTTGCCTCAATGCTTTACGTGCCTTGTACGCCTATTTACTAACTGTTAAGGGGGGGAGGAATAGTGGTGGGAAGAATAGTTTTCATCCATTTTTACAAGTTTTTTAAAGCAATCCTATTTTTTATTTCACTCAAATTCTTTTTATTAAAAAATAGCACGCAACTTTTAACGTGTCATTTCTCGCTTATATTATATCACTGTAACGATGCACCCCCTGCCAAAGAATAGCATCGTTTCTGCAGACAAACCCCTGGCAGGAACCGGGCGCCGTGCGCCCGGACTATCTTTTTCTCACCACCTAGCCAGGCGCACAAGAAACTTTGCCCCACCGAACGTTCCTTTTTGCAACCCCCCGAGGATCATCGACGAGACGCGGAGGAATCCGAACGCGCGCCCGAGCGGGTATAAAAGCCGGAGGCTTTTCCAAAGAAGACACTCCGTCTTCACACTCGACTCGCTACCCGCTAGTCCCGCCAAAAGACCATCCGTACCTTGTCAGGAACAGGCCAGGAAAACCGGGGTCGAAAGAAGTTCTCGGCCTCCGCCAAGACTTCTTGGCAGACCTGCTCCGCATCCTCTCCTCGGGACGGTCGCACGGGGTCGAGAGCGTTCTCGGCCTCAGTCGAGTCTATCTCGGCAGACCGCCTCCGAACCATACCGCCGGGACCGCCACAGTCAGGGGATCGAGAGGGTTCTCGCTCCCCGTTGAGTTCGATCTCAACGGCGATCCCGTTAGCGCGAATAAACAACCGATTCTCGGAAGCCAGCCCGGGACGCGTACACCCGGCCCCACGCCCCGCGCTCATAGGAGACACCAGTCTCGCGCGCCACGCTCCGCCTACCGCGCCGGCCCCGCGCCTACCGACGTCACACGGGAACACGTGACCGCGTGCTGAAGCACATCCGTGTGCGTCGTTATACATACATATCTGTAAATATATCTACCTGTAAATATCGTCCGTCCGCGCGTACCGAAATAACATGTATACAGGGTGTCCGGTAATAACCGGATAATATCTCGTGAGCTGGTAGAGCAGATTAAACTGGATCGAAAAGTTCTCTATCCATTTTGCAAAATTCGCAATCGTTAACGAGATATTAATTTTTGAAGATTGACAAATAAGCGTGTATCCATCCGCCTACCGCTGAATGCAAGCGCGCGGCGAGATACGACCGCCCCACA